GTGGTGGAACCTTTAACAAAGAGCCCAGGGCACAGGGAGTGGCAAAGGGCTGGCAGACACAGCTGATGCAGCTTCCTTTTGGATCATAGTCCAGATTTTCCCTTAGAAATTCTATTTAATATTAGTTTAATTCTACTTGTTTATATTTAAATAGCCCCATATGGCTCTTCAGAGTCTGGGAGCTCTGACAGGGCAGGAAGCGGGTCTGATTTGTCCACTCCTGTATCCTCAGTGGTCCATAAATGTTCCCGTAAGGATGAGGAAATTCTGGAACCAGGAATGATGAAGAAAGCCCAGCTCATCTAAACAGCCCTCTTCATCCCTTCTCCAGGCATCTTTTCACAGCCCAGGGAAGTCCCTGGCTAGGAGAGGCAAGGAACAGAGGCCAAGTCTGATGTGGCTTCTAGGCTACAGAGGAATGGAGGGAGAGCCGGGAGGGGCCATAGAAGCAGCAGCTATGGGAGAGGACAGGGAGGAAAGTGGGTGGGACTGAAAGAGGATTGCTCTCAGGGCCCTGTTAGGGCTTCCCGGGATTAGGAAATGCTCCGGTTTTGTGGGTCTACTTTCCTGAGAGGCTGGGCCGGGCTGGGCCTGGCTGACTTGTTCCTACTTCCAGGAGGATGACAAGGGGCAACCCTGGATGCAAGCCCAGATCCAGCTTGACACCCTGACCTGGAGACAGAGAGGCCAGGTGGAGAGAAGCTGGAGTCAGGGGACCCAGGGCTCCTAGGAGCTGTGGGAGGGGCCTGGCTAGGCCACGTGTGTGATGAGGCTGGGAAATTCCCCCCATGTCACTTTGCCCTTTCCTCTCCTCCAGTGGTGCCCTAGAAACTGGAGCGTAACAGGCAGGCCCAGGGACACAGGGAAAATAATTGGGATAGAGAAAGGGGAAAATGGGAAAGAGCCTGCAGAAAAGTCAGTATCAATGCCTTGTAGGCCCAGCTCCCCAGCGGACACTGTGATGTCTGGGGCAAGCTGCTCTCCAGCTCCGGGACTTGGAGTTCTGGGAAAAGGAGAGAAGCAATCCCTGCTGCCTCATAGGATTGATGATCATAATGATCATCACCACCTTTCACAAAGGCCAAGCCCTGTGGCATTTGATTGTCACCACCCTGTGAATTGGGCACAGTTATAGCCTTCATGTCATTGATAAAAGAAACTGAGGCACAGAGTTGTAACTGGCAGGGCTGTGATTTAAGCCCAGAGGCCAGAGCCCACACCTTATCCTCTGCATGACGGTCTCTTGGGAAGTGGGCAAGTTGTGGGTATGAAATGGTTTCATTCACTTTAAGGTGCTGAATGAATGTGAAAACTTCTGAAGGTACAACTACCTCCTCATGCAGGTATTTGGGAAGTGAAGAGAATTTAAAATGTCTTAAATGTCTTCTTAGTCTATGGAGAGAATCTGGGACTGGCCAGGCACGGTGACTCATGCCTGTAATCCAAGCACTTTGGAGGCCAAGGTGGGCGGATCACTTGAGGTCGGGAGTTCAAGACCAGCCTGGCCAACATAGTGAAACCCCATTTAAAAAAAAAAAAAAAAAAAAAAACAGAGAGACAGAGAGAGAGAGAAGCTGGGACCACGGACTCTGCTCATTTACTTACTTCTTACCAAAAACTGCCACAATTGCCTGAACAATTTTAGTCAATATCATGTGTTTGACATACATATCTCATTTATATATCTCCAAAATATCTCTCTGATATACACATACACCCAACACCAAAAAGTACCTAGAATCCACTGGAGGATTTTACACTCCTGAGATTGCCTCAGGCTATGGGTCTAAAGAAGGGACCCAGGGCTGCTCTTTTCCTAGTTCATTAGCTGCTCCCCCTGAGTTCCATTCGCCCCTAGCCAAGACCCTGATTCACTCATTCTCCTAGCAGAGTGAGGCATGTGCTTGATTTAGATGCTCCATTTCCCATCAGTAGGGTATGTGGAAATAGCACTGTGCTGGGAGCAGGGTACTTGGGTTCTGTCCTGAGTAGGAATCACAAACTCAGTGTAAGACCTCTTGCAAGTCCCTGCCCCTCTCTGGCCTTTGGTGTGGCTCCAAGGAAAAGACTGGGTTGATTATTTATTTATTTATTTAGAGACAGACTCACTTTGTTGCCCAGGCTGTAGCGCAATGGTACGATCTTGGCTCACTGTAAACTCCGCCTCCTGGGTTCAAGTGATTCTCCTGCCTCAGCCTCCTGAGTAGCTGGGATCACAGGTCCCCACCACCATGCCTGGATAATTTTTTGCATTTTTAGTAAAGACGCGGTTTCACCCTATTGGCCAGGCTGGTCTCAAACTCTTGACCTCAGGTGATTCACCTGCCTCGTCCTCCCCCGGCCTGAGTTGATCATTTCTAAAGACCCTTCAAGCCTGGCATTCTGAGTTCTATGTCTTGCTAGCAGGGAAGACTTTGGAGCATGATGCTTAAGAGTGTTAAGAGTTTAAAAGCCTGGATCTTCATGTTCTGGTTACTTGCTGCGCTGTAAGACCTTGGGCAAGTCATCTAGTACCTCAAAGCTTCAGTTTCATCTGAAATGTGGATGATAATGGTACTGACCTCATAAGCTGGCTGGGAGACAAATTATGTATAAAAGCGCAGAGCTAGCACACAGCACATACTCCATACGTGTTATCTTTTAATGCTTTTATTATGCAGCCTCTGCCCCTCTTCTGGCACTTGGTTTAGAGTTAAGTTGGTTATAGATGGATTTTTTGTTTTTTATTTCCTTCAAATGTGTATTTGAGTCTGACTCTGTAGCTACCTCAGTAGAGGTGATGGAGGAGGGAGTAGCAGAAAGGAGATTGAGAAGTTGTGTGCTCTCAAACAAAACCAAATAAAACAAAACAAAGGTAGTCTGATTCTCCTTCTGGGTGGGGCTTTGTGCTAGTGCTTGTCATTACTCTGGAAGAACAAGAGATTGCCACCTGCCTGAGTCACTCGGTCCCAGTCGGGCCCAGTTTCTTGACTTGGAAATCCCCTTCCAGACCAAGGGGTAGCAGGCAATGCCAGGATACGGGGCCTGTGTTCTATTCCTGCCATGCCCCAAGAGGCTACGGTCTCACAGAGGATGTGTATGATAGGATGGAGCCTGGTGAGGTGGCATTGCTGAGTTTAACAGCCAAGTTCTTAAGTGATGCGTGCAACCCACATCTACACATCACTATCATTTCTCGAATGCCTACCGTGTACTGAGACTTGGGCTTTATTTGCATCATCCAATTTAGCCTCACCTGAGGAATAGGTATATTATGCCCCATTTTCCAGACAGAAGCCTGAGACTTAGCGGGGCCACCCAGGTAGTAAGTGGCTGAGTGGGGACTGGAATCCCATTAGTTCAGTTCACAGCCTCTGTTGACAGTGGTGAGTTTCTGCAGGAAAGTAAGAAAAATCATGTCATGGTGAAGACAATATGATACAGTGGACCAAGCACACGGGACTGGGAGCCACAGCCCTGGATTCCAATCCTGGTTGTATCACTCAATGAGTGTGGCATACAGCAAGTCCTTTTCTAGATAGAGGCCTCAATTTACATATCTGTCAAACAGGGGTTTATCAACTGTATCCATGGCCTCTCTCATGGTGGAATGCCCTGAAGACAAACCAAGGCTTAAAAGAATGTAAGGGGTGGCGGCAGTCATGACTTTCAATAAATGAATTTTCTCACAAATTGCAACTGTTAAAAAAAAGCATCCAGAACCAGGAAATCAGACAAAAAGATGACTGAGTGACATTTTTATGTCAAGCTTGAGAATTCCCAGAGGGCACTTTGAGACATGATACGGTCTACCCAGCTCTCTAAGGCCAGATATGTTACAAAAACAGCTGAAATAGTCTGGAAACAAAATGCAAGTAATTAGAGACCTGCCATTTTTAAGTAAATTTCAGTGTTCAGTGAGTAGAGGGTGGGGGTGGAGAAGAGGTGGGTTTGGAATAGGAAGAGAGCAGGAAGAAAACTGACCTGCGGGGGCCTGACTGGTGGAGATGATGCATGGGAGCTGCTATGTGAACCAGGGCTCCATTTCTCTGTAGGATCCCCCAATAGTGACACTCAAGTGTTCTGGTGTTTGCATTTTCCCTCCCTCCCTCCCTCCTTTCTGAATCAAGGCCTATGTGTCATTTTTTTCATAAAGGGAACTGGAATGAACATAGTTTTGAAAATTTGATAACATCTTTGAAGTAACTGAAGGAACCCTAGGATGTTACGAAGCCTTAAAGGAGAATCCCGGATTAGGCATACAATTTGGGCGAGTGTCTGTGTGTGTGTTCACTCGAAGTCACAGCGTTTGGTGGGTCTCTCTTCTGTAAAATGAGGGTGTGTATGAAACAGTTCCCCAAATCCTTTCCCCTAATTCTTTTTGAGGATGAGGGCCTGTCAATGACTAAGTTTTGTGTCTTTTGCAATAAGTTTTTCATAAAGCTATATTTAGTTTAAAGAGCTGTTCTTTATTCCAAGGTTAGGCCTTCCACTTCTCGGAATTAAAATTTACCTTTCTTTCTTTTTGAAACTAAAAGGATAAGCTTTTAAAAAGCTTTCCTAGCCTTAAAGCAAGTTTCCGTTTCTTACCGGTGTAGGAAATCCCAGTCTGTTAGGATTATCTAGCCCACATATTGGTAAGCAGGGTGGAAGAAGGCCTCTGGATTTGCCCACCTGGGTTTGAATCTGGATTCAGCCCCTTACTGAGGTCAATTAACCTTTTTGTGCCTCAAATATTTAAGAAAAGGGAGTAAAACCCATTTCACTAGGGTGATTGTGAAAAAAGAATGCATGCAAAGCATCTACAATGTCTGGAGCAAAGCGTTTATAATGTTTGGAGCAAAAAAATGTTAGCGGTAAGAGTCTCTACAGGTCCTTTCAGCTCGGAATTTCTACAGCTTTGCTAAGAGTCCTGCAACGCCCCGGACGGAACTACGGGGGCCCTGAGCTCCAGCTCTGGCTTAGCGCCAACTGCTTACGTGCCTTTAGGCAGGTTCCTTCCCCCCTCTGGCCCAAGTTCCCCAGGGCACAAGGAAGGGGCTGGGTGGTCTCGGTGGCTCGTATCCGCGGCGAAATTCCGGCTTTTAAGGTGGCCCCAGGCCTCCGTCCGCGGCTTCCAACGCGGGGAGTGCAGCGAGGGGCCGCGCGGGCCTGGGACGGTGGCGCTAGGGAGGTCGCCCCCCGAGGGGAAGGACGCCTAGGTGCCTGCTTGAGGTGCTGCAGGCCCCCGGAACCCGGGACAGCCTGTGTTTACCTCGCTCGGTCCCACCCCTGGCGGCCGCGGGCCCGCCCGGAGCGCGCAGCGCGATTGGGCGAGCGGCCTGTCAGTCTCCGGGGACTTTCCCAGGGGTGGGGCGGCCGAGCCCGGCCCCCGGCACTTCCTAGTCTTTGGCCAGGTCCCACTGCCCCCGCCCAGGAGCCCGAAGAGTGCCGGAGCCTGGCCCGGGCCGCTGCCGGGTCCCTGGACTCGGGGCTGGACGCAGCAGGCGGGGCGCTGTGTCCCAAAGCTCCCAGTCCTCGGGTAAGCCTGCCTGGCCGTAGCGGAGATGGAGGGGAGGAAGGGATGCCGGGCCCGGATCGTCCCGAGCCTCGGCGGTGGCGGGGCGCGAGCTGGGGAAGATGGCCTGTGCCCAGGGGCCGGCGCGCGAGGTCCCGAGGTGTCTCCGCTAGCGGCCAGCCTGGGCTGCGCGGGGACTCCCTGCTTGGGGCTGGGGCTTGTGGGGGGCGCGCGTGCGCACTGCGCGGGGCAGCGCGCCTGGGAACGGCGTGGGGCGGCTGCACAGCGCGCAGACCCTCCGGGTACTGGCGACACTGCTGCCGTCGGGGGGTGTCTATCGTGGGGAGACGAGCTGCCTACGCGGCGTCAGGAGTTTCGTATAAAGTTGTGGAAGTAGTGTGCCTATGTCACGAGGAGGAAAATAATTTTTACTGGGCGCTTTTCAAGTGCTGATCTTAACGCTATAAGTGTATTAGACTTATTTAATTGTAACTTCCATCCTAAACATTAACATTGTTATTATCTCCATTTTATAGTTCAGAAAACCGAGGTACTTGGAGCTTGAGGTCACACAGCTGTCTGTTGGAAAGTCAGATTTGAACTCAAGCATTTGGCTCTGGAGTTCCTACTATATAGTTTCAGTTGAACACATTTTGCATGCACATTGTTGGAGACATTTGTGTGCATGTGTAGAATAGATGAGTTTCCAGGAGGGGTTCTCAGTATGGAGTTTGAAGGCTGAGCTTTCCACCGTAGGACATTTATGTGCACGTGTGCATTGTACATTCATTAATTGTGTGTACAGGAGCAGATAGGAATTTTGTGCGACTGGGTGAGAGATTGTGTTTTGCTAGGGGGAGGGAGGGACTTTTGTGGATGATGCAGAAGAATCAGCAACGTCCTTCCCCACCCCCTTGCGGAATCACAGTACAGGGAAATGTGTAGATTCCTAATGCATCATTTTTTTTTCACAGTACCGTCAAAATGGAATTTAATCAGCACTTACTCATTTTCCAAACAATGGGGTGTGATAGAGGGGAATTTGGCATCTGATGAGAGGTCAGAAAAAGGGACTCAGAATTTTTTAAAAAAATCCTTGACGAAGGAAGGTAGCGTTGTATTGGGAGGGTAGAGTATTAATTAGTATAAACTCAGCAACCCTGCAGTGCTCCCTATTTTCCAACAGAAGAAACTGAGCCAGTGAAAAAACTGATAATGCTAATGCTACTAGCTTACTATGTGCCAGGCATAGTGCTTTACATTCAGTATCTCATTTAATTTTTTTTTTTTTTTTGAGATGGAGTCTCATTCTGTCACCCAGGCTGGAGAGCAGTGGCACCATCTCAGCTCACTGCAACCCACCTCCCAGGTTCAAGCTATTCTCCTGCTTCAGCCTCCCGAGTAGCTGGGATTACAGCCACCCGCCACCACTCCTGGCTAATTTTTTGTATTTTGAGTAGAGATGGGGTTTCACCATGTTGGCCAGGTTCGTCTCAAACTCCTGACCTCAAGTGATCCACCCACCTCAGCCTCCCAAAGTGCTGGGATTACAGGTGTGACCCACGGCGCCTGGACTCACTTAATCTTTGTTTCTTTCTTCTTCTTTTATTTTATTTATTATTTATTTTTTGAGACGGAGTCTTGCTTTGTCACCCAGGCTGGAATGCAGTGACATGATCTTGGCCCACTGCAACCTCTGTCTCCTGGGTTCAAGTAATTCTCCTGCCTCAGCCTCCTGAGTAGCTGGGATTACAGGCATGTGCCACCATGCCCAGCTAATTTTTTGTATTTTTAGTAGAGACGGGGTTTCACCATGTTGACCAGGATGGTCTCGATCTCTTGACCTCGTGATCCACCCGCCTCGGCCTCCCAAAGTGCTGGGATTACAGGCTTGAGCCACCGCGCCCGGCTTCGAACTTCTGACCTTATGATCCACTCATCTGGGTCAGACGAGTGGATCATAAGTGCTGATCACTTAATCTTTCTAAAACTCTATTAGTAGCCTTAATTTTCAGATGAGGAAACCGAGGCCCAGAGAAGGTTGACTTTCCCAAGACTAGCAACCCTCGAATCCTAGGCCCTGTTCCCTTTCCACTGAGCAAGGCTGCTGTCCTGGCTGTGTCCTGGGAAGATAATGTGATCAGGGACTGGCACTTCATGGAAGCACTTGATCATGCCCCTCTGGAAGCTGCCACTAAGAGTGTGCTATGTTCTACACCCTATGTAACCATGTTTGTCTCCTAGCCTTGGGTGTTCCATAGATACGGCATAGCACTCATGCTGAGGGTTGATGCCTGCCCCTGGATATCCCATCAGGTTTTTTGGGGCCCCAGGAAGCTGTGGGGTCTGACTCATACCCTTACCCCCAGTGCTGCCTGTGACTTGGGGCCCGGATGTCCTGGTTGGGTCAGGCCGACCTGATTTGAGTGCAGCAGTGTTGTAGGAGGTTGTTTGTCTGCCTCTCTCTCCAACCCACTGGTTACTGTTTTACTCCTGCACCCGCTGTGATTTGGCCACTCCATATGGGCCTGCGTTTCCCCCTCCAGCAAGCCAAGCTTATTCTCATCCTGAGGCTTTCCTACGTGCTGTTCCCTCCGCCCAAACAGCTTTCCCCAGCTTTTCCCATGGCTGGTTTTTCCTTATCGATCAAGTCTCAGCTCAAATGTCACCTCCTCAGAGGGGCCTTCCCTGATCTTTTTATGCAAAGCAGCCCCTTTTTTCACTTTCTGTCACATTACTATTTTATTTTTCTCATACACGTATTATGCTATGAAAGAATCTTGTTTATTTGCAAACGAGAAAGCATAGGTACAGAACTTAGTGTTTGACAAATTGTTATTTGTAGTGTTTGTTTATTGTCTTTCTCTTTTCCTAGAATAAAACGGGGTGAGCGGAGACCTCTTTAGTCCCTGTGTGTTTTCCTGCAGCAGCAGAAAAATGCGTGGTAGATGGCTCCTCTGAGTTTGTTCAATGAATGAGTTGAATAATGGCACATTTCCCAAATGAGGAATCCGAGGCCTAGAGATGAGAAGGCAGGACAAGAGCCAGGGTCTGCTCTCCCAGCTCTCTCCCAAGCATCATTTCCTGATGGCTCCCGTGTGCAGTGCTGTGCAGTGTTCATGATGTACAGGTGCATAAGGAGCTGGCCTTGCCTTCCAGGAACTTTTCGTCAAATGGGGAGATGTGCTATGAGTGCTACCTGAAAGGCATTATATGCCAGTAAGTGCCAAATGAGTCAGATTGGCATAAGTATAACTGGAGTGCAGAGTAATTTGGGGGCACCAGTTGGTTGGGGGGGTTTTCTGGAGGGAAGTGACTTCAAGATCGAGCCCTAAAAAAATGACAAAGTTTTGGGAGGCTGAGGCTGGAGGATCACTTGAGTTTAGGAGTTCTGGGCTGTAGTGTGCTGTGCCAATTGGTGTCTGCACTAAGTTTGGCATCAATATGGTGACCTCCCGGCAGTGAGGGACCACCAGGGAGTGAGGGACCACCAGGGAGTGGGGGACCACCAGGTTGCCTAAAGAGGCGTGAACTGGCCTAGGTTGGAAACGGAGCAGGTCAAAACTCCGGTGATGATCAGAAGTGGGATTGCGCCTGTGAATAGCCACTGCACTCCAGCCTGGGCAACATAGCAAGACCTCGTCTCTAAAAGAAAAAAAAAAAAAAAAAATGATGAAGCGTCGAGTGGAGCCCGGGTCTCTTCTGGAACTTAGTAGACTAGGGAGACTATCTGGAATCCGCCTCTCCTAGGTTGGGAGAATTGACCAGTTGGCCTGGGAAAAACCCTAAAAGATTTTGATATCAGACATAGAAATGTTGATTTTTTTTCTCCTCAGCAGCATTGGGAAATGGTCAGAGCAGTTGGTTCGTAAACTTGAGCGTGCATCGGAATCCTGAGGGTGGAGGTAGAAGGTGGTTGTTAAACACAGATTGCTGGGCTGCAACTCCAGAGCATCTGAACCAGTGGATGGCAGTTGTGCCAGTGCTGCTGGTGTGGGCTGCTCCTTGAGCACCACTGGTGAAGAGCACAGGATTCAGTGCTTGGCAGACCTGGGTAGGTGCTGCATCTGCCACTCCGGGCCTGTGTGTCCTCACCTGTCAGCTCTGTATGACATCAGTGCTACCTCCTAGAATAGTGGGAATTAATGGGACAGTGTGTGGCAAGCACTAGGGCCCACAGCGTGGTAAGTGCTCAGTAAATGGTTGCTGCTGTTATCGTTATTGATGCTAATCATGCGGTTATTGACAGGATTCCGGTAGAAGATGAGACTGGTTTGATTTTCTTTGCTTTGGATAACTTGCTGTTAAGGTTTGAGTGTGTCCCCCAAAAGTTTATATGTTGGAAACTTAATATCTCTGCCTTCATGAATGGATTGTCAGCTCTGCCTTCATAGATGAATGTCACTATCTCAAGGGTGGGTTAGTTATAAAAGGGGCCAGTTTGGCCAATACTCTCTATTTCGATCACTCGTTTTTACCTTCTGTCTTCTATCTTGGTATGACTCTTGCCAGATGGTGATGCCGTGCCTAGGACTTCTCATCATCCAGAACCATGAGCCAAATAAACTTGTTCTTTACAAATTGCCCAGTCTGTGCTATTCAACAGAGTAGTGGCAGAAAGCAGACGAAGACACTTGCCTTCAGCCCTCTGCCACCCTGTGGACCATGCTGTGTCCTCTCTGGATGAGCTGTCCTTTGCTTTGTCTCTTTGGAGTGGTGGAAACTCAGATGTGGGAGGGGCCTGGAAGACATCTGGCCTGAATTCCCTCAACAGCCCCAGCACCCCTCTGCTTGACCCCGATCCTTGGGATCAGGGCACTCTCCACCTCATACCGCCCCTTCCAGTGCTGTTTAGACTTGTTTCTTTGTGAGCCGAAGTCAGCTGGGGTTCTTCCTTTCTCATCTCCATCATTTTCCCTCATTGCTTACCTGACCACTGTGAGGGAGGGAGGGAGGTTGAGCAGTAGCATGGTGTGGTAAGAGAGTGTATAGTGGCCACCAGAGGACGGGGCACACATTCCTTG